ACAAATGTTGAACAAAAAGATGATAGAACTAATTTTCGTAATTAAAACGTTTTTTTTGTTTATTTCGAAATAAAAGTCTCATTAGATATGTACATACATTTAAAATCGTTGAAAAAATGATTATTTAATATCTTAAGTTCATGGTCAACAACTTGTTGTTTTTTTTCAGTGCAGAAAAATCCTTGATCAAACATGAACTCATTTCGATGATAAAAAAAAATATTAAGTATATTCATAAATATTGATTAGAATAGTAAAAATCATTACAAAGAACACGGTTAGAAAAAGTTTAACAACAACGTATTTCTTATTTTTTTTAATATAGCGTTAAATATCGAGCTCAAATACAGATATTGATTTTAATAGTCAATAAAGTTTTCTTTTACTAAGATTTTAGAAGCTATTTTTTAACAATACTATTTTAAAGAGAATAAAATGAAGAATCATCGTATTTTCTACGACCGTTTCTTAAAAAATTAAAACTAGAGGAGACTTTCATAATCTATCATGAAACAATATCATTTGACATAAGAACTATTAGAATACATAAATCATAGCTTACATTCATCAATGTAATCAATCAGAATTCTTTTTCGAAGAAAATCTGAGATCTTTGTTTGTTTTTTTTAGTTTTATGATGCTTTTAACTTTTTTAACGAAGACTCGTAAAAAATACGGTGATCCTTCATTTTATTTTCTTTAAAATGGCATTGTTTATTGCTTGACATTACGAAAAAATCAAAAATATATTGTTGTTCAACTTTCTCGCACCATTTTAAGTACATATTCAGTTAATATTCTTATATGAAAAAGTCAAAATAATCTTGTCTGTTTTATCAGACTCAACATATAAAATGAAATGTTTGTAACCTTTTATAAGATTAAATTCTATTTTCCAGTATAAATGTAAAGGTAAATAATAGAAATAGTTGATATAAAAGTCAAAGAAAAAAGCTTTTTTTTTCCTAAATCTTAAGATTGTTTGAGAGAAATTTGATACAATCAATTCTATTAATTAATGTCGAAAAAGAAAACAGCCGATAAAAGTCAGTAGTTAATTTCATTTCTATTCTATTGAAGACAAATGCAGAACGAATCTGAAATCTTTTTACCTTCAAGATTACAGAATTTAAAACAACAACGAATTCATCATGCTCCTTTACTTTCATCTCGTTTATTCAATGTATTTGAACAAACTTCTATCTATGGTTGTTTTCTATTTTTAATTTTTTCAATTGCTATAGTGATTGGTACACTTACAACATATGATGAATATCATAAAGCAAGTGTACCAATATTAATCAATATAGAAGTTATATTATTTATCTATTGTTTAATTGAATTTATTTTACGAATTTATGGATCTGAATCAAGATTACGTTATTATGGTTTGAAAGGCAAAGTTCGATTTATTTATGAACATTATCTTATCATTGATTTAATTCTATTAATTTCATATGGAATTATTTTTTTATTATATTTTATTAAATTTTATGATTATTCATCAATAATATTTTTACATTGTCTTCGTTTTCTTCAATTAATTCGTTTTATTTCATTAGATCGTTATATTAAATCAATACCTTTAATTAGTCTTATTATTTGGCAACATCGTCGAATTCTTTTAGTAGCTGTCTATTCATGTTTTTTACTTCTTTTACCAACATCTTATTTTTTATGGATTACAGAACGATTTATTGAAACAGATGGAAAATATTTTTTTCAAACATATGTAGATTCAGTATGGTTTACTATCAATTCAATGGCTACAGTACGAAGAACAAAGAAAATATTCGATTAAATAATTATATTTTTATTATGAGTTCTATTTATTTTTTTTCTAGATTGGTTATGGTGAAACTTGGCCTCGAACATTTATTGGTATTAATATCCATATGTATATATCATTATATAAATAATTTTTTTGTTTTCAAAGGTCGTGTCCTTACAGCAAGTTTATGTTGTATAGGTCTTATACTTTGGACACTTCCTGCAGGTATTATATCGGCTTCTTTGACATCAATTCATGAAAAACGTCGTAAATCTCAACGTCTTATTCGACCGGCCGCAAGACTTATACTTGCTTGGTGGCGTTTACAACATCTTAAAAATCAATCACGAATAACATTTAATAAAAATTATGCAGATGAAAAATGTAAACAATTTATTGCTCGTTTATTATATGCTCGACTTTGTCGTGAATTTCGACGTTGTCGATATCATACGAATGATGGATATGATGTTCAAGTTAGAATTGATATTGAACGAATTCTACAATGTTTACACATGATTGAAGAAAAATTAAATCATGTTGATCAAAAGATGTTAGATTGACAAATAAAACAAAAAAAAAAGAAAATCTTTTTTTTTTTATTTTTAATGATATCATATATTTCAAAAGTTCATTTTTTGTGTAATTTAATCTTTTATGCGTTTTTCCTATCCTTTTATATAATCGAAAAGTAGAAATACAATAGAATAAAACATACATAATCAAAGATAAAATTCTTAAATGCTATTTAGGAGTACTTAAAAAGAATAAGATTTCCTAAAACAAAATAGTGCTTCATTTCTGAATATTTACCTAAGGGCATCAACATAAAGAGATTTATGTAGAGTTTTCATTTTCGTCTTAACTTAATCTTGATTACAATTTAATTTATCAATCTAATAAATGAATATGAAGTACGAGAGTACATTCTTTTTTTTTTTAAAGTTTCTACCAATACAGTTCAAGATTAATATGCAGCCGCGCATATGGTATACATCTCTGGTTGCCACAGCTTCTTTATTAACCGTTTCTAGTTCTCAAAGATAGTAAAATCCACCAACTGGAAATGTTTACCACAGATACAACAGCTTCATCGAATTTTGTGCAGTTAGACTGAAATTTTAGGTTATTTTTGTTTTGGTTTCGAATCTCTATGTATCTCTCTCATAGACGAAAAGAATGAGAGATCTTTTAGACAAGCTAAAGATAATCTTTGACATATAGTCTTAGGTGTCTCAAAAAAACATTAAGCAACTAAGATGTAGTTCTATAGAAAACCATAAGTTTCCAGTAAAAATCCACTCTGAAATTATTTTCTTCGAACATATAGCTCCTTATTTCTGATGGTCTATCTATGGTAAAAACTTCAATTTGATCTGTTGTACCATCTTCGAAAATCAGAAACAATCCAAAAAAAGAGGGCTATCCTTAATGTTGGTCGTAACCATATTAATTATAATCAGACGACCATGTAGGCCTTCGTTCTTTTATCGATTCTACTTATCAAACTACCAGTTTTTTTTAAACAAAACATTTCAGTTTTTGTGCGACATCTATCATGAATAATATTCAGGTCACCTGTTTTTTGGTGTTTTAAAAAACAAACGTAATTTATATTTTTTATCGCAGAGATCTTATCACATGAGTTTTTTTAAAGTAACATCAAATTTCTTCATCACAATATTATACTTGAGAAGTCTTAATGGCTTTATACCGCAAGATGGCTGCTTAAAAAAACAGATAAAAAACATAATTAATTGAAAATTATTTTTTCTATAGTATATGTTTTCTTTTTCTTCTGATGAATATTTTTTATTATTTATAATAGATTTTGTTTTTTTTTTTACAGAAAAAGGAAATTTCTTAATCAAATGCTTCGTGTGATCTATTTATCTCGTGCTCAACCAGCAGCACGAAATTTATTACTTATTAACAAACGATATCAACAAACATCTACAACTTCTTCTACTAAACCACCAAGTAGTAATCCTTCATCGGCTACCAAAACAACAACAACCACAACTTCATCATCAAGTACTCCTCGTCCACCACCACCGCCACCACCACCATCACGTCCAGCTGATGTTAAAACTGGTGGAACATTGAAAGCTATTGTTTATGGTGTTGGAATTGGTCTTGGTATTACATTACTCTATGCTGAATATGATAATGGTTCATTTCGTCGTAAAGTTGAATCAAAACTTCCACTTAGTTCAACAATTTTAAGTATTCTTGATAAAGCTATCGATCCTATATTTGGTCGACAAAAAAAATTAACAACTATAATATCAGAAAAATTACCCGACATATCACCTGTTACTGATCGACTACCTGATAAAGAACAAGTTAAAAAAGCTGCTGAACAAGCTAAAGATGTTATTAATGATACATATGATAAATTACCTGAATATAAAACTGTTAAAGGTAGAATTACTCATGCTGCTGATCAAGTAAAACTTTATTTTGAAAAAAAAAAACAATATTTTATTATTATTAATAGGTCAAAGATGCAGCACATGCTGTTCGTGATGCATTACCTGATCCAAAAGCAGTAAAAAAAACTTTAACACATGCTAAAGATCAAGTTGAGGATACGGCAAAATCAATTGCACATACAGTTAAAGATGCATTACCAGCAACAAAAGGTGTATCCGGTGAACAATCAAGTCGAGGTAATGATCCTGTATTTTTAGAAGAATCTGGCGAAGTAGCAACACCACCACCAATTAAACGGTATGTTCAATTTGATCAAAAATGAATGAATTATTCAAAGGTTATTTTTGGTGAAACTTGTAAAATATCGTTGTATTAAAAAAGAGTGAAGTTCAAAGTTTTACGTAAAGTTCGTTTTTTTAACCGAAAAGGAAAGTTGGTCAAAAAAAGTTCTTTTTTTTATTATTTATATAATGGACGCAAAACGGTTATTCTTTTGAATATTTTCGCTTTTCATTCAATCATAGGTAGCCATGAAAAGTGACGCGCACGAATGATAATAATGTTTTTCCTTCTTTTGATATGTAGAAGATTTCTTTTCCTTACCATGGCTATCTTAATAAACCACGATATTTTTAGAGTAAGATCCTAATAAGTCAATAAATGCATGAGCTAAAAAGCTGAAACTTTTTTGTGAGATATGAGCCATTTAGAGAGGAATAACATATAAAAAATATTAGTTCAAACCAGTCAATGAGAAAAAAAAGTTATTAGGCAAAACAGTGCAAATTTCAATAATGCTAAAAAAATTGCAATTCATTTATACATAGAAAAAATGAAATAAATATTCAATATAAATATTATCTCTTTTTAATTTATTTTAGTAAATAAAAAGCTCAAAATTTTAATCGTACCATTGTCAACTATTTAATCATTTTTATTTCCTATTGTACTAAACGACAACGACGACGACAGCAATAGAATCTTTTTGTTCAATACGATCTTATTATTCAGAAAGATCTAAAAAAATTTTAATGCAATGTAACAAAAAGATAGAATTAAAAATGCAGTTAGTACGATCGTATATTTTCAATAATTATCATTCTTTTTGTTATAATATATGAACAAAGAAGTATGCTTGCGAAAGATTCAATTCGGTTGTATGGTTATGTTTATTATCTTATTGTGTAAAATGCAATGATTTTGAATGAACAACTAGGTTCTATATTGTCGTCATCATTTTTTATTTTTTCCTTTTTCTTTTAATGACAAATGGGACGATTTTGTATTTTGTGTTTCTATTCTTTATTTTCAACCAAGCAATTCTATTTAATCAAGCTATTTTATTGTTCATTTTTTTTCTATTCACACAAGCATTTTCTTGTAGTTTTAGTATTTTTCTTTTACAAAAAGAATATATTACAGCATATAATTTAATCGATCAAATTATTTATTTGAACAGTGAGAAATTTCTGAATACTGTTTATAGATTGAAATTTTCATGATTCAAAATGTAGGTCGATCAGCAGTAACAACAGTCTCTCGTTATGTATCGAGTAAAATTGATTGGAGTCATCTATTGAAAATACGTAGTTCTAATACAACAACAGTATCTAATCTTCAAGCTAAATGGAGCCAAGCTGCTATGAAATTAGTTAAAGTTTTATGAATTTAATCCTATGATTAGATGTCGGTTTTTTTTTCTTATTATTAGAATGAGTGTATTGTCAGATAGATTACCTAAAATTGATTTTAATTACTATCGAAGAATGATATCTGATCCAACATTTGTTGATAAGCTTGAAAAAGAAGTGCAAATCACTTTTTTCTATAAGCATAGGCTTGAGTTCAAAAAATTTTGCGGGAGAGAAGGCAGATTGGCTTATCCAGGGAAAATGAACCATGTTTAGTTCTTCTATTTCAAAGGACAGACTGTGTTCTGTTTAAGGATGTGCCCGTGATATCTGTTGTAAATACTATGCAACAACTTTCAAATCGATTTCTCAGCTAAATCACATGAACCAAAAGCAAAAATTTCAGCACTGATAGAGTTAGATATATTAATGCAGCTCCACTATGTGATAGGTTTTGGGATTCTTGTGAGTTTTTTCTAGTATGGTGCACATTTGCGAAAAATTCGAAAGTATGCTCCAAAGATGGTTGTATCATTCAATTCAGAAATAATCTATGGATATGAGAGTTTTAACGTAAGATAGAGAACAGTAAGACAGTTTTGAAGCACTAATCAGAGTTGAAATTTTGTTTGGATTTCACACAGAGACTTGAGTTCAAAAAACAGAATACAGGAGAAAAAACTTTCGCTACGAAAAATAATTGTCCCAACGACTAGTATTGGTAATAAAATTTTCAGACTTCTCTCGTTTGAAATAGAAAAACTAGACAAGATCAACTTTTGACTGCGGGATTCCATTCGAAAGAAGTACCCAGTATCATAAATCGTTCTTAATTTAGTATGAAAATATTCAAATTTCTTATCCAAATGATACAGCAAATCGATTTAAAAAACTTGAACAATATGCTAAGATTGAAGTAAATGTAAAGGTATTATTACATATTTTATTTAATAGAGTAATATGTTTAGGAACAATGTGCTCGAGAATTAATAAAATTAGCTAAAAGTGAAGTAGAAAATTTACAAAAAGAATTTGATTGATAAGACAATGTATCTCCAACTGATGAAGTAAAATTATGAGTTAGATATGTTTTTGTAAGAGAATGCAGCTTTAATAGATATTGATTTTTATTATTATTTAGCTTTATTCTATATGCCAGAAGCTGTCTTTCCTTGTGTTTAGAAAAAAAATGAATATGATAAATTGAAAGACATTCAATTTTTACCTTATACAAAAACGAGATTCATTACATTGATGGGTTGAACAAGGTAGTGAATTATTACCACATAAACATGAATGGGTTATGCCAGATAAAGCACTTGTCCCTATTAATGCTCCACCACTACCTAAACAAGTATTTTTTGATACTCATGGACATGATGATGTTAAAAAAGAACCAGTGCCGGAAGCAAACATTAATGTATTCTGTTGAATTGTCTTATTTACAATATTTCTTCTTTTTTTCTTTTGTAGTTCAAATAAAATGTCTATATAAAAAGAGATCAACTAGTGGATTTTTGAGAAATCTATGAAAATTAGTCGATTAATTGATAGCCATCCAAAAAAAGCAAGACATGATTCGTAAACTGAAAATCACAATAAAGAAGCATAACAGAATTATATTAAAATTTATTCTTATGGAAAACGTGAGCCAAGAAAAAAAAAACATTTGACACATGTTAGATAGTATCATTTACTTGGAATAGTTGATTAAGTAGTAATCAGTGAACTTTTTAAAGTTATTGTTTATGTACATGATTAAAATGTGAAAAATAATGTAGCTGCTATTGTTAATCACAGTGAGATTGTTTTATTTTATCTATTTGGTTGAAACTAAAAAAGAAAACTTTGGAAGAAATTACATTGCTGTTTATGCTAAAAAATAAACTTTGTGAAAGTAAAAAAAAAAAAAGTTAATTTATATGTAGATCGTGGGAATAGAAACAAGAGAGCAAGTATACGCATACGCATACAGTCTATTAATTTTTTTTCTTGTAAACATTCGCCTTTGTTTTACATGATCTTGTTATTCAAAAAAAAATTAGAAGAACTACTCATAATTTCTAAACTGATATATTTTTTTTAATTTTGTGTTTATTTGAAGACTTTTGCCTATTACTATAAATTTCTTGGCTACCACATTTGAATGTAAATAAAATTTTTAAATATTTTATATCGAATGTCATGATAAATATGATTGTAAAATTTTGATGAAAAGTAACATAAAATCGTGAAATCATAAAGTTATTTTATGTACATTTTGTGTTATCCATTTATGAAGAATTTCAGCTATCTGTAAATTGTTCATTTCCATCATTTGCATGTGACCATTTCCATAAATTCCATAATCTTCAAGTCGAATAAAATCTACTTGAACTCCTGCTTGCCGTAAGAAATCAACTGTACAATGATCATAAACAGCATGATAAGATGTTTGAGAGGTTTCTATTAAAACAGAAATATTTACAAGTTGAATTAACTTATGAGCAGGTTCTTGTTGAAGAATACAGGAAGTACGATTCTCATGTATTGATGCAATTTCAATAGTTAACAAATCAGATGACGAATTAATAACAGGATCATATGTTAATTGAATGTCTGTTAGTCCCCAAGCACGAGATGAAATATTTGTAAAAACAGCTTTCCTAAATGGAGGACCTTTTGGTTCGATAGCAACAATAGCTTTAACAAGATTTGGTCGTGCATCAGCTATAAGCCATCCAAAACTTCCACTTTGTGAATGAGTCAATAATATGGCAGCACCAATTTTATCTAGTAATGCTGTACCAGCTTTTTGCATCATTATTTGAGCAATTGTGTCGTTAGCAACTAACTGAACGGTTGATGCATAGAAAGTATCGAAAATTGGATCACCTTTACGACCTCTGGTTGTTTTATTAGTACCAGGCCATTGTGTATGTAAAACTGCTTGAGGCCATAATTGATAGAAACTAGTAGCTGTAAAACGTTCCTCCATCATTTCAGCAGAATAAGTTTTAACAGCAATGCCACTATTTGGCAACCATATAGATCGACCACGTGCTGGTTGATCAATAATATACACCTCATATCCTTGTTCCAAAAAGTAGGAAGCCCAACCTGGTCTACCATCAGGAGTATTAAGCCAATTAGTACCAGTCATAGCATTTCCATGAATTAAAATTAAAGGATATAGTTGTTGAATACCAAACGGGGACGTTAAATGTTCAACATACATTTGGCCAGTCATGAATGAACTGTTAGAAAATACATCGAATACGTATTCGCCTCCGACATAAAAATATTTACGATGAATAGGAAATGAATCTTTTGTACATGTGCTGTCTTTTGATGAGTCAGTATCTTTAATACTGAATGAAATAAGTAGTATAACAGTGACTGTAATAATTGTACATGGTAGCATTATATCTACAGTTCTAGAAGCGATTTACACGCATTGACCCGATATGTTCTTTTTCTCTATTTTTTAAGCTTTTTGTATTATTTATCAGTTAGTATGTAGTTATTGCGTATTCGTTTATGATACAGGCAAACACAGTAAAAGATGATCAATACGCCATCTATTGAGAGTACATCGACGTATTGTTTTTTTTATCATATAATAAAGGATTATAAGTCAAATTGAGAATTGTATAGTTTTTTCTTGCTTTATTTATTAAAATAGTCTTATTTGATCAGACCGCTATTTGAGCAAAAAAACAATATCAGAGAAACTTTGAATTCAGTGTAAAGGAAACGTATGGTTATGAGTAAACAAACGATCTACGCCCAACATACATCAAGCCTACGTAGGCACAAAAATGATGAATGTGAGTGTGGTTGTTGTTTTACAATTCATCCAGGCTACGCATTTCTGATACCCACACCGTGGTTCGTCAATAGAAAATATATAGAACAAACAAAATTAGATATATCAAAGAAGGTACATCTGAAAAGTGAAGAACTAATCTATTCGATGAATTACATTGCTATTTTGTGTTCTTTTAGATAGGGGTAAGAGGAAGGTGTTGAAGATGAAGACAAAACCCGAAATATTCGTAATTCATAATTGAATAATTCGATTTCCAGAAGACCACTGCTATCATTTTATTTGTTGAATTTCAACAGGTTTATATGCGAGTTGCGGTTCTATCCAATTTGAAAGTGATTTCCATTTTTGTTGTTCATTATTTTTTCAACGAATTTATCAAACATCATACTTAGTCCTGGATATAGTCGATAAAGTTCCTGAAAAATTGACAAAGTATCTTTTTGAAAATGGAATAAAGTGTATTTGATGGCATAAATCAAGATGTTTATTATGTTGAATTACTTATTTTGATTCAATTGTGCTATGTAAACTTGCTGTTCATTGAGTATCAAGACGTAGAGTATGATCAGATTTTGATAGATTCAACACAATTGCATGATCATTTTATATGTCCTCTGAGAAAATCCGATCGAAATTTTCCTGTTAATCTATTTTGAAATCTGTTTAGCGTAGAAATAAGTGAATTAGTTGTAGAAGAAAAGAATCTCTGAGTCTTTTGTAATGTTCACATAAAGGATTTTTCATACGTTTATTTGAAAATAGAAGTGAAAGTAACATCATACTTTTATGAGTGTGGCTGGATCTGCATACATAAATTTAAAACCTTACACCCAGATACCTTTGACAGCATCGTCTATGTGACTTGACGAAGTCTCTCTTCATAAATTCATGGCAACGAAAACATTTCAAATACCTTTTTTTTCTCGTATAGACATTGAATTAACATTGACATAATAACAGTTTATTATTGCTACCTGTATGTATGTAGAAGGCACAGAAAATTACACAACAGCTTCTGAAAAATATTTTTTCTTCAATTCGAATAACATAATGGACACAATGAGTCATATAGACGTTTTCTTTCGTATGCATCACATCTGTTGTCGAGCAAAAATATGCTACATAATCTTTAGTTTTTTGCAATTTTTTATATCTTTTTCTACTATTCAATTGTCATTAATCGTGTAGCATGAGTCTGTACATAGAATGTTGGCTTGTTTTTCGACCATTTAAACAGGTATCAGTGCTTATACTGTATCCAACGAAGTTGCCTACGCTATGCTCAAACTCCACGTGAATCTCTTGCATCAATTTACGCATCCTTATGTGGCAGTGAAAAGAGTGCAAGCAATCATGAAAGAAAATAAAAATCAATCATTCGCACAGAATGTTTCGACCGTATTGCACACAGTAACAAAAGAAAGGGAATCAATAACCAACGCCATGAAAATAACTACAATACGTTTTTGCACTGGTTTTAGATTTAACAATCATTAGCATAGTGCTGACGTACTCCGTTGACAACTTGCATAGTTTAATTTTATTTTTCGTTTATGTGAGTAAGGCACTGGCTTTTCACATTTTTGTCGGATTTCTTTTAAGAACTGTGAAAGAGAAAGAAAATAACATCGATCATTCTCATTTGATTGACAGTATAAGAGTGCATGCCAAATAGGATGTGAGTATCAGTGTCGTGTGTACGGCATGGTAGTGGATCTGGGTGTACATACAGAATTATATCAACAACCACACCCAAGCTGGATGAATCTAGATATCTACTCTACATGAACATGGCAAAAACAACTCGTTCATGTCTCTACGACCGAGCAGTGATCATCATTCACTATGAGCGTGCATTGTATACCGGTAGAAGTGATATAAGCATACCGTAAAAAGAACGTCATGTATATCTTTATGGATACATGATGTGGATTTGATAAATGGATGTTGAGATAGAGTAAGCAAAGTCCACAACTCTGTAAGTGTTTAAAAATAGCAGTGGTGGTATTACAATATAGATACAGAATTATTTTTTTGTGATGAGATTATTTTATGCAAAACTCGTATCTCAGAAAAAACCAAATGTTTATTGACTTTTCCATACGATGTCATCTCTCTTCCAATATTTTTATTTTTAGAATCTATCACTTTTTGATTATTTATCAAAATAATAATCAATTAAATTTTTACTTGACTCAATAGAATAGATTTGTCACGATACCATTCACATATTATTCTACTTTGTTCTGTTGCAATACTTTTATTTGCATATCTCATTATTTTGCAATTCGCACTATGAAAGTATAATTAATGGCTTTTGCAAATCATGGCCAATATTTGTTTGGGCTTTACTTCTTAATATGTTGATTCTTCGTTTCATTAAAGAAACTACTTTAGACAAGGATCTTTTTTATATTAAGTATTCAAGGTGTGAGTATGGGTGTTGACGTTTTTTTCCACACCCCACACCCTCAGCTCGCTTCAAGTACTTTTTGTTTTCGAATTTTCTTCAAGACAACTATTCAATTTCTTCTTTAAATATATTTCAAAACAATAAGCTCAACAAATAGAAATCTAACAAGTCTGCAGTAATATGTTTACACTGTCAGTTCCGTCGTTTCCGACAGCTAAGTCTAACTTCTTGTCATTGTTAAAATCGCCAGCGATCACTGAGAAGGGCAAGGAACCATACCCGGTCATAATCCCAATTGGAATAGTAAACTGACCATTACCGTATCCAAGGAGCAGACCTATGCTGTTAAAATCTCGGTTAGCAACCACAATGTCCAGCATGTTATCATTATTGAAATCACCAACAGCCACAGAGTATGGATGAGAACCGTAGCCAGTTGAAAGAACTGATTGATTCATAAAAGATCCATTTCGATTTCCAAAAAACACTCCCACATTATCTGTGCCATAATTAGCAACGACAATGTCCATCATACTGTCGTTGTTAAAATCTCCAACAGCGATAGAGTACGGAGACGACGAAGAGCCAGTTGAATAATTCTTTTGATCTGCAAAAGAGATATTGCCATATCCAAGGAAAATACTGATCATGTCAGTCCCTGAAAGAGCAACAGCGATGTCCATGTGCTCATCATTGTTGAAATCGGCAACAACAAATGATCGCGGTTGAGAATCATTGCCAGTGACCAGTGTCAGTTGTTCAAGAAAAGCAGTATTTGCGTATCCAAGAAGTACGCCTACATTGTCGCCCCAGTAATTAGCGACAACAATATCCAGCCGAGCGTCGTTGTTGAAATCATTAATAACTACAAAGATTGGTCGAGAACCAGTGGAAAAAGTCATTTGATCTGCAAAACTCCCATTGCCATATCCGAGAAAAACACCCACATTGTTGCTTCGCTGATTAGCAACAATAATATCTCGTCGACTATCCCTGTTGAAATCATCAATAGCTACAGATGTTGGGCTAGAACCAGTAGAATACGTCATATGACCTCCAAAACTCCCATTGCCATACCCCAGAAGGACACTTATAGTGTTGCTATCGTAATTAGCGGCGACGATATCCATATAAGTGTCGTTGTTGAGATCACCAACAGCTACAGAGATTGGGTAAGAATCAGTAGAATAAGCTGTTTGATCTGCAAAGGTACCGTCGCCATGTCCGAGTAGTACACCTACATTGTTGCTGTCTGCATTGGCAACGACGATATCCAGTCGACTATCCTTGTTGAAATCATCAACGGCTACAGATACTGGGCTAGAGGCAGTAGAATAGGTCATTTGACCTCTAAAACTCCCATTGCCATACCCCAGAAGGACACTTATAGTATTGCTCTCTTCATTAGTGACGACGATATCCATACGAGAGTCATTGTTGAAATCACCAAAAGCTATAGATCCTGGGCGAGAGCCAGTAGAATAAGTTGTTTGATCTGCAAAGGTACTATTGCCATATCCGAGAAGTATGCTTACAGTATTGCTGTAGTAATTAGTAACGACGATATCCATATGAGTGTCGTTGTTGAAATCGGCTACAGCGATAGATATTGGACCAGAGCCAGTAGAATAAGTCATTCGATTTGCAAAGCTACCGTTACCGTATCCAAGAAGTATGCTTACAGTATTGGTATAGTGATCAGCAACGACGATATCCAATTGAGTGTCATTGTTGAAATCACCAACAGCTACAGAGCTTGGATAAGTACCAGTAGAAAAGGTGATTTGATTTGTTAACGATCCGACGTCATATGCAACAAGTATATGGATGACGTCACTGCTATCATGGGCAACTATAATTTCTGATCGTCCATCATTGTTCAAATCACCAACTGCAAGAAGAGAGGGAGCAAAAGGAAAACGAGTTCCAATACTGGTTTGTACCGTAAATGTTCCCTTGATATTTCCAAGCAGCATACTTACACTCTTACTATCATAATTGGCTATAGCAATATCCAAATGAGTGTCATTGTTGAAATCATCTACAGCTACAGAGTTCGGACGAGAGCCAGTTGAATACGTTACTTGATTTGTAAAAGTACCGTCCCCATTACCAATAAGAACGCCTATTGTTTTACTGCCGTAATTAGCAACCACCATATCCAAGTAATTGTCGTTATTCATATCACGAACAACAAGACACCGCAAGTCGGAACCATCACCAGATACAAACGTCTCTGCATTTCCAAGACCTACGATATTCTCTTGAAGCATTACACCTATATTTTGTTCCCCTGTATTAGCGACAACGATATCCATTCGAGTATCGTTGTTGAAATCACTAACAGCTACAAACAGTGGGCCAGAGCCAGTGGAACAAGTCGTTACGTCTAAAAAACTGCCATTGCCATATCCGAGAAAAACGCCCACATTGTTGCTTCCTGAATTAGCAACAACAATATCTAGTCGCATATCGTTGTTGAAGTCACTAACAGCTACAGACCATGGTTCAGAGTCAGTGGAATAGGTTGTTTGATCTGCAAAGGAACCATTGCTATATCCAAGAAGTACACCTATTGTATTACTAACACGGTTAGCAACCACAATATCCAGTCGAGTGTCGTTGTTGAAGTCACCAACAGCTACAAAACGTGGTTCAGAGCCAGTAGAATAAGTTGTTTGATCTGCAAAGGAACCATTGCCATATCCGAGAAGTATACTTACATCGTTGCTCTTGTAATTAGTGGTGACGATATCCAGTCGAGTGTCGTTGTTGAAGTCACCAACAGCTATAGATCCTGGACCAGTGCCAGTAGCATAAGTTGTTTGATTTGCAAAGGTACCATCCCCATATCCGAGTAGTACACTTATGCTGTTGCTGTTTTCATTAGCAATGACGACATCCATTTGAGTGTCGTTGTTGAAATCACCCACAGCTATAGAGCGTGGGAAAAGGCCCGTAGAATAGGTTGTTTGATCTGTAAAACTGCTGTTACCATATCCGAGAAATATACCTACATTGTTGCTTGCTGAATTGGCGACAGCTATATCTAGCTGAGCGTCGTTGTTAAAGTCAATAACAACTACATATAGTGGATCAGAGTTAGTAGCATAAGTTGTTTGAGTTGTAAAACTCCCGTTACTATAGCCAAGAAGTATACCTATAGTGTTATTGTCACGATTAGCAACGACGATATCCATATGAGTGTCGTTGTTGAAATCACCCACAGCTACAGAGCGTGGGCTTTTACCAGTGGCATAGGTTACTTGATTTTGAAAGCGCTTGTAATAACCAAGACGTACGTCTATGCTGTTTGTATCATTGTTCACAACAGTAATATCCAGTAGATTGTCGTTGTTGAAATCACCTATAGCAAGTGAAACGGAGGACGAAGATCCGCTTGAATACATTGTTGAGATTACAAATGTGCCGTTCCCATATCCAAGAAGTACACCGGTATTATTAGTGCCTCTATTACTGACAACTATGTCGAGTCGGTTATCGTTATTGAAGTCAGCAACACTGATGGTATATGGAGAAGCAGGACTTATCGAATACGTCGTTTGTTTTGTGAACGTTCCGTTGCCATAACCAAGAAGTATACCTATGTTTTTAGTTCCATAATTAGCGACAGCGATATCTAGGAAAGTATCGTTGTTGAAATCACCAACAGCGATCGAATAAGGATGAGACCCATTGCCCGTTGAATATATAGTCTGATTACCAAAAGTGCCCTTGTTGTTGCGAAGAAATACTCCTATAGTGTTTGTTCCAGTATTTGCAACGACCAGATCCATTTGATTGTCATTGTTGAAATCTCCGCCGATGGCTGCAGACGGTAGAGAATCATAGCCTGTCGAATACATGATTGGCTTTGAGAAGCTTCCGTTTCCAAATCCATACAATATACTGACACTCTGAGTACCATAGTTGGTAGTAACAATATCACATATACTGTCGTTGTTGAAATCAGCTAAGTGAACCCAACGTGGACGAGATAAGCCAGTGGAAATCGATGTTTGATTGACAAAAGATCCATTGCCCAAACCAAAAAATATTTCGATACTGTTAGTGCCGAAATTTGCCACGACGATATCTAGTCGATGATCGTTGTTGATATCAGCAACTGCGACCGAATATGGCTGTGAACCAATGCCAGTAGAATGTGTCATTTTATGTCCAAAACTCTCATTACTATATCCAAAATATATTTCTATGTTGTTAGCCTCAGAATTTACGACGACAATATCTAGCCATGTATCATTGTTGAAATCCCCAACAGCAACAGATTGTAGACGACCTTTACCGTAATCAACCGGATTTTTTCCCGTCTTTTTAAAGTTTAATTCACACTTTTGAACTAAACGACACATGAAAAATGATGTAAAGTTATCAGATGCTCACATACTCAACAAGGCTTTTCGTATATATGAACTTCTCATAAACTCTTTCATATATCCTTTTTTTGCATGTACGAAAAAAATCAGAGAAGTTTCTATAAAGCAATATCTCTGATTCGTACGTCACCACGAGGAAAGCACTCTAACTTCAACTCAACTGAGGGATAAAAGAATTTAAATTCAGTTGATCTAAAATAAAATTTTACTATGTGTAACTTAGTTGTATGAAAATTAACGATTTTGTCCTCTGGAAAAGGTGAACAATGTAAAAATATTTCATTTATTTGTGCATTTCAGAGTTACTATTTTTGCCACGAAAATGAATGAAAACGATGGTTAACATCTATTCTAACTATATGCAAAATGTGATATCTAACTTTACTTTTTAAAAAAGGTTTACTTGATCAGAATGAATCGAAAGATACGGTCTCTATCACTAACTTGTTAATATCGACAAAAAAGGATACTTGAATGTGGTAGTTGAAATAAAATCATTTTTATATACAAACTAAACAGACAACTGATAATCTTCGTTTAAGCTTATATTTTGCTCATCGGTAGGATATATAGAGCATATAAAGACTTTTAAATGGATTCGTACCATTATCGTTTTGTATCAGAGAAATAGAGATTGAAGGTTTGTGTGGAAATGGTAACATTATATTTTTTTTTTATATACATCTTATGTTTTTAGTATTTCGATGAAGGAATGTTTTTATGAGACGAAAATTTTTTACAAACTCAGCTCATATAATAATTCTTTGCTGTAGACATATCAATTATGCCTGAGATAATCTTCCACAAATAGAGAAAAAACATTATTCGACTCATCATTTTTCTTATTTATGTTGTTCGTACATCTCGATAAGCTGATCATCGCATATTTACATTATTACTATTCAGCTCGTCTATGTATTCTGTAGGTATATCAAATGTACCACAACATAAGAGAGGATATAACTACAATATTTCACTTCATTCTTTACTTCATATGTTCAGTTTTTATATTCTTGTTTACTAAAAATTAGTAATCAACAATTTCCATTTCCAAGTATCCATCACTCTAACTATACATAAAACACAGTAAAGAAGAAAATCTGGATCTGTCAATCACTGACTCATATACAATTGTTATTTCCATAATTTCCTTAACAAGGAATCATATATGAGATAAGTTTGCAAAAAAAAAAACGTTTACCTTATACAAATATTCCTCCGTCGAAATATTAAAGAAAAAAAATTATAAAAAATATAATTATTCTTATTACTCAACAAACTTCTTATCCTTGTTTGTTCCCTTGTAAGAACGAAACAAAACATTTTAGTCAATTAAGATAAAGAAAAAGTATAGGAATAGTATCTCTAAACCAAACAAATAAAAAAACAGACTTTCCTTCTAACGATATATTAAAATGTAAAAGCACTCTATTTTCTCACCCGTCTGCAAGAAAAAAAAACTTCGCTTTCATTTCGAATATTGAATATAAAATAACCGTAATCAGTCACAGAAAAATGTTATTTCGTTCAATCTCTGTGATATACATTAAAAACACTCTAGAGTTACTCTATCATATATATATATTTATTGATGTCTTAAACACGCGTAAGTTCATCCGCTTGGTGAGAAAAGTTTTCTATTCGATGGTTGTTTTTATAAAGCAGATTTCATCAGATTCTCATAGGTCCTATAGTATCTGGTGTCGGAAACTTTCGTATTAGTACACTTGGACATAACTCACAACCATCATCTTTTAAAAGTATCCTGCTTAGTTTCTCGGAATTCAGATATAGTTAGCTATGGGAGTTCATCAGTCACGTCACTTGCCCAGTCCTTTCTCTCATCTACTGTAGAATTCGTTCAAAAATGTGTCATCTTTGATAACAGAGAAGAATGTCAACGGACATGATATGAGTGAGGTATATAACGATACATTAAATTGAATCCCTTTTGAACGTTACAATTTCTTTTTTGGCCTTTGCTTTACTTAAAACCTAATACATGGACTTACAGTCTTACGTTGTTACAGAATCAAATGAATATCAAAACTGTAGTATTAGGTAATGTTATCAATGACTCAGTCAGTATTTTGAACTAGTAATTACAATAACAAACGAAATATACCAATTTCTGTTACGAATCTTTGAGAAGAAGAATAGGCAACACTATGATGATAGAGAAGGAGATATGAATCTATTGGCAGACTGAGCAGCGGAATACATCAGCGAAGACGAAGAAAACAGTGAGAACAGAAAATGACGATCTATAGTTGTAAGTATATGTGTCAGTGGTTTCATCAAAAGGACGATGCATGTATACCGATAGTTTTTGAGTGACAAAAGTGCAACTATTTACCTTTTCTGTTTTTCACACATTAAGCAATATGTGACCCTTTATCAATATGTTCAATCACAAATAGTGATAAATATTCTTCTCAGTTTTTTTAGCTGCACATCTTCTATTACATCTTATTTCATTTACAGGATAATTTATCTGATGTCAGATTTAATAATATTGCTAAGATGTTGTAAGGATTACTCATTTTTATTATCGAACCATGTAATAGATGATCAAATAGAAATGTACTTATTATTTGCTCACTTTGTGAAGATCATCGACCACTAACAAGCTATTAATCAGATAGAAATATTCTTTTATGACGCATATACAAAAATTTCACTGTTAAAAAGACCGCTAACAGAAAATATTCACTAGAATGTAAAAAAAAGAGATCTCACTGGAGAATACGAGAGAGAACACATATGAGTCATAGAGAAAGATTAAAATATACGACTGTAGCGGAACACAAGAAGATATAGATGGAATACATATACTATTTACTCTTCTCTAAAGGCAACATAAATGGAGAAAATGTAAAGAAGATGTGTTCTATCGAGAAGAAATATTTACTTTCGTCACGTTCTATGAGAAAATCACTTGTATTGTCTCTTATTTTTTCAAATTTTTATTATGTCCAAAACTAAGAGAAGAAGCTATCAAGAACATTGAATAAGATAAAGTTGATCTTTCTGCAACAAGTAGCAATTTGTAACATCAGTTTGTAAAAAATCAGATCGTGAAACTATGAGTTTTATTGAGATATGAAAAAAATTATAGACAAACGCAAAAATCTTCGTTTTAGAAAAACTTATTATCCTTGGTTTTTCAAGAACAAAGCGGCAATGGGATGATTCTTTCTAGAATTCTTTTCTAATCTATAACCTCTACCAATAAGTAAAATAGAAGAGTCAGATTTATAGACAAAGTATTAGAACTGTTGCTGATGATCACCTTGCTTGCTTCGCGTTCTTCAACGCTAATTTGAAATGAAAAAGTGAAGCAGTTGTAATGCTTATAATTGTGTCCACACTGGATGGTTTACCTCGAACATGTCAATATCAAATATTATCATGATTCGAGTTTTTTTAAACAAAACTCACAAATACTGGTAAAACAGAAGCCAATTAACCGTGGAATTTTATCGTATGGGATACAAAGAATGTAAAAC